CATGAGAAACTACAAGTCTCCCCCCCACCCTGCCTTTTCATCAAGGTAGACAACAAAAGGAAGGGCTTAGTATCACAGAAATGCCACCATGCAGTCGCTGTCCCCACTCACCCAGAGCAGACAGTGCACGCTCCGGATCTGGCAGAAGACACAGAACCAGATCTCAATACATTTAAATTTCAAGCACGTGACCACCAGAAAGATGCCAGATCTACTCTTACTCTGCACCTGAAACGCCTGCATCACCCTCAAGTACTAGATGCGACTGTGCTAGGCTCCAAGCGCACATGGGCACAGAGCCGCCCTGGCTGGGCACCATAGCCCTGCTGAATGCGATGACAGACTCTCTCACGCAAACATTAAAGTAAAACGTGGGCAAGTGGCAGAGTTTACTGCAGTAGGTGCAGGACCCCACAGCCACTCCTCATGCAACCCAGACACTTAACCACTGCCCGCTGGCGATGCGATGCCCTCTTCCACTGCGCTGAACAGGTTTACAAGTTGAATCAATAATTAATGCACGACGGAAAGACACAGCAGCCGCGAAGTTTTCTGACATACAAAAAAGTACCCGACCGACGAAGGTGCCGAGAAGCATCTATGTCACGGCTAGATTTAACTAACAGGATTGCTAGACCATTTTTAAGCAAGTCTCTACCAGACGCTGCCAGCGCTCAAGACTGGCGAGGACCATGCCCACTTGACAAGCTTCTTAAAGAGCATTACAACAAGGTGGGAGTCCCAGGACTTTCCTTACCTGTATCCATTCTCGACAGTTTCCGTAGCTCTGACATTGGCTGTAACCCTCAAAGTCTTGCTAGACAACCCAACGACAGATGGCAAGATTTTGCTTTTAAAGTCCGCGCAGCTCCACTCCTCTTCTTCGTTCAAGGTCGGGAGGTAGCCACAGACCACTTTTAAGCTCCCCAGTCCGTTGCCGTGAACGTAAGCAGGATTCTCTCCCCCACTCCTTACGTACTCGAGGTATATATCAGAAGTTAAAAACATCTGGTAAGCATTTTCCTCCATCACAGTCTGAATCTCAGTCTGTGCCTGATCAAACATCACCGAATCTATCTGCTGCTTCTTGATGCTATCCCGTATGTAGGTTTTCGTGGCCGGCTTGAGCTGCTTGGAGACGATGCTGTTGTTCTCGATGTACCGTTTGTATATAGCTTTGGCTACCCGCGAAGTTTTGGTATCCTTAAGGTCCATCTGCCTGAAGCCATTGCAGGCGAACCAGAAGTCTAAGGTATCCACGCATTTTTCCCGTTCCAGGAAGGTCCGAAAGAGATAGGCACCATCTTGATCCCCCAACAAAGAGTGCAGGGACTTGGTCCATCTGGCCAGAGGGGAGTCCGGAGACGCGCTGCCTTCCGGCTCTCCCAAGCCATCCTCGTTCCTCCTGGGGGCCGAGGACACCGGCACGGCCTCGAAGCTTTGGCTTTTCATGGCGAAGGCGCAGGCAGGCTGCGGGCATGGTGCCTCCCCTTCCTCCCCTGGCACAGGGGGGCGCGGGGCATCCTCCCTGAAGCTGGTGCTGGGGTCCGGGAGGTGAGTCAGCAGCACGGCGCTGCTCATGGCTCCTGCGTCCGCCTTCAGCTCCTGCACGGTCTGCCTGGCTGCCAGGGTGGGAGCCTGCGCCTGGCTGGCTGTAGCGCCGCTCTCGAGTCAGCAGGGGATCCTCGGAGCCTCCTCTCTGGCCGGGAAAGGGAGGGGGGGAAGGAAAGGAAAGAAAAGAGTATTGATCTAATCAAAACCAGATCCGCCCAACATCAAAGACCAAAAGTAAACAGGCTTTTCAGCTGCTCGCGCTCAGGAGGCAGCAGCGATCTGCAGGATCACAGCGGCTCCACTTTCCACGTCGGGGGGGAGAGCTGACCCCCCACCCGGGACAGCATCGGCTCGCGGGGAAAGAGCCATGTGGGTCCCATCGCCGCCCCGCACGTGCGCTGGCCCCCGGGGGAGCAAAACTGCTGCAGCAATGGGGACGAGCGGGGGGGGGGGGGAGAAAAAGTCCCGAGCTACTTGGTGCCGCAGGGCAGGGCAGGGCAGGGCAGGGCAGGGCACTCACCGCGCTGCAGCCGGAGCGGATCCCGAGCCCCCTGCGCCCGGCCCTCGCGCAGCATCGGCGGGCAGGGCAGGG